GTTGACATGTTAGCTTTCTGCTGTTGCATCTTTATCTTTCTGTTCTAATTGTCTGCTTTGCTTAGGGCTTTTTTTGTAAGTGTATCTAAACTGTCTTTCAGTATTCTTTGCAGAGTTGGCATGGTGATCATGAAGTTCTTCAGCTGTTCTTTGTCATGGAAGCATCTTATTTCTCCATCCATTTTGAAGGACAGGTTTTTAGGGTACATCAGTCTAGGTCGGAAATCATTTTCCTTTAAGATCTGAAACACTTCACTCCATGCTCTTCTTGACTTTATGGTTTGTGCTGAGAAGTCTGCTGTGATTCTTACAGGTTTTTCCTTTATAAGAGACCTGTCTTCTCTGACAGCTTTTAATATTCTATTCTTATCTTGGATTTCTGGGATGGTGATTATTGTATGTCTGAGTGTAGTTTTATTTTGGTTATGGCTATTTGGAATGCTATATGTTTCACTGATCCTGATGTCAGTTTTCATTCTCATGTTTGGGAAATTTTCAGCTATTACTTCTCTATATATCCTCTTGACATCCTTTATATTGTGTCCTTCTTTTTCATTTATCCCTATCAATCTTATGTTGTTTTTCTTTGCATCATCTTGCAGCTGTTGAATTATTTCCTGATTCCTTATTTTTAAAAGATCTTTCCTTTCCTGTTCACTAGCTGCAATCTTGTCTTTGAGGTCTGAAATTCTATCTTCACTTTCATTGAGGTGGTTTTTACAACTTTCAATGGAGTTTTTGATTTCCTGTATATCTCTTTGCATCTGCTTCATGTATTCTGTTTCTTATATTGTTCATTCAGGAATTTTTTTATTTCCTCCAGTTTTTTAACTGTGTCATCTTTAGATATGTTCAGCATCTCTTTCATTTCTTTTATCATTTCTTCTTTTCCCTCGGAGATTGTTTCTAGTTTGAATTCCTTTAAAGCTTCCCAGAGTTGCTTCTTTATTTCATTTGCTGTGATTTCAGGTATTTCAAGTGTATGGCATATGTTTTCTTCTATGTACATAGCTCTTAAGGTTTCTTCGGATGGGCTAGAGGCTTGAGATTATATTTTGGTCTTTCACTTTGTCATTTTCCTATATTTCTGTGTTTCAAGAGTTATTCCAAGGCTTCCCCTGGGCCTGTTGGAAATCCTCTTCTATGTTCTCAGCTTCTGGGACTCTGGCTGCCCAGTTCCCTGGATTGAGAGAAGGTTACTGGGGGTGGGGCAGGCAGGCTCAAGCCCTGCTGAGCTGGTCCAGTGAGGCAGGAAGCAGCAAAGCTCCCTGGTTGGCGGGAGCAATGATCTTAACTCCCTCCAGGGGCTCGGGATGGTGCAAGGACATTCACCCCAGGCCTCCCAGTCTCAAGAGTTGAGGGCACAGGCAGGCAGGCCCCAATCCCTGGAGGTGGCCAAGCATGGGTGCTGGAAGTTGGTGCAGGCAGGACCAAGCCCTGCTGAGCTGGTCTATCCTTTATTTTCTTATGCTAGAGATTGAACCCAAGGTCCCATGTTTGCTGGGCAAGCACTCTATCATGGAACTACAATCTCAGTCCCTTAACATAGTATTTTAAACAAATCATTTAATATTGTGATGTTTAGCCAGGCATGGTGGCTCATGCCTGTAATCCCAGCACTCAGGAGGCTCGGGCAGAAGAATTTGGTTGAGTTTGAGACCAACCTGGACTGCAAAGTGAGCTCAAGGCCAGCCTGAACTGCATAGCAAGATCCTGTCTCCAAAAAAAAGTCATGTTTTAGATAGGAGCAGTGGCGCGGCATATGTATATAGCTCTGGCACTTGGTTCAGGCAAAAATATCATGAGTTCAAGGCCATCCTGGCCTATAAGGGAAGACCCTGTCTCAAAATAAAGCATTATTTACTGAATGCATAGAATTTGAAATCTGGATGAAACTGTAAAGATTATACAGTTTGACTTTCAAAATTTTACTGACATAAACAAACCCAAGGAAGACATATGTCACATGCCTACCATCCCAGCATTCTGGGAGGCTGAGGCAGGAGTATGAGAAGTTCAAGCCCAAGTTGGGCAACCTAAGTGAAACTCTGTCCAAATGAAAAGATTACCAAGGATCTTGGTCTAAGACTTTCTGTCATTCCATCCTTAGTATGTATGTCTGTGTGTGTGTGTATGTGCAGCTTTGATCAAGCTAATGATAGAACTAGGATAAAAAGGCAAACTTTGAGCTCTTTACTTAGTGAATTTTCTAAAATGCAAGTAGAAAGTTTCATTTCTCTGGTGAGATTTGTCACTAAGAACAAACTACTCTATGGAGACAGAACTTCTGTGAAGTAAGGACTTCTGCTTCAACTACTCTGCCTTTTCACACTTCAACAAACAGATCTTCATAGGACTGTTTTTGACTTTCCAGTCTAATAAATCAGTAGAACACAAGCATCTATAATTCACTATATTATCAATATTGTAGCTCAGTAGTCCTTTCATGGATCCTTCAGGGTTCTTAAGGGAAAACTAACTGTCCTTGTAACCTGATAGTCATCTCCAATTGCTGTGAAGATTTTTTTAAGTGCCATTAGCAAATCTAACAAAAGGGGATTTAGCTCAGCGAAATCGTGAGTTCGATCGCCAGTACAAAAAACAAAAAAATCTAACAAAAATAATCATTCTGTAATATCCATTCTATGCTTAATTTTTCCTACATCTCAAAACTATCTTTGTTTAAAGCAGAACCGAAAAGAGAAGGACACATTGTGTTTAAGATGTCTTTTAAGTATCTTTACTACAAATGATGGAATCAAAAAGATTTTGTAAGGATACAACTTCATTATTGCTGAAATGTTTTCTAAAGTGATTGTCTCACTTTGACTCCTGCAGAGTTTATGAGATAACCACTTCCTCTGACACTGATGGTATTGTCAGACATTTTAATATCTGATAGTAAGTCTCATGCTATAAATACAGGAGATGCGAGCTTCATCTTCAAATATATAATCAAGCGTTTAAGATAAAAACATTTTATGGTCATTGGAAATGATTATACACTCCTATATCTTCTGAAAGTCATTGTTTTAGATACGTGTCAGTATCTCCAGGGCATTGTACACACTAGGTAGAGACTACTGCCCAGATACACATTCAGCTCTCTCTCATATATTAATGAAAGAATACAGATGATACTTAATTGTGCTCAATTTAGTATTTCCTAGGAAGGATGTGACTTGGTATTGACATTACCCTCCTGTGAAGAACCCTTTAGCATATATAAAGCCCAAGGGGCCATGTATTCTGTGAGTAAATTAGAATTCCTGTAACCACATTCTTCCTTGTTAGTGTTTCTCTTGGCAGGCTGATGCTCTGATGATGCCATAATGCTTTGTTTGTGGGTCACCTGACGTCACTTAAACCTTTTGGAAGGATAAGCAGTTAGGCAAGATGAAACTTATGTGGTAAAACCTGATCCTCTGGAGCAATTTTCTGGGATCATAGAACTCTCTAGGAGAAAGTATATCTGGAAATATTTTCTATAAGCTTTCATCTTTCATTAGATTATGTGGTTTTACTCACTTTTGTAATGTTGATAGCAGAAATAGGTTAGCACATGATATGCTTCTGGTGCACTCACATTTCCTTTTGACATTTTACACACATCTAAGAGAAAAGCAGCCCACTTCTGGCAATAGAGTGGTAGTCAGAGAAAAGAAAGTATATACCAATACAACTTCTTGCCTAGTGAGAAGGTATAGTGTGTTTAATACTGTATCATATAAAAATGCCATATTTTAAAGCTCTTTTTCCTTTTTGAACATGTCACATTATAGATGTTCCCAGAGAACAATCTATCTTTAAAGAGTGTGAAAAATGATATCCTACACTGGTTATATTTATATCTTAGAGAAAAGTCTGAAAAAAAAGCAATAAAATGATGGATTTTAAGCTTCCATTCTGTTAAAGTAAAAACCTTACTCACTGTGTCAGCTACCTTAAAAAAATTTTTTTAAGAGATAGAACACGAGATGCAAGCTTTTGGCTTCTATTTTCCCCATATAAGCTGATGACATCTTCAGTTCCGGAGGAGCCTTCAAAAATGTGGATTCTGATATATGTTGGCAGAACTGGTGCATTCCTAGAATAAATTTTCTGTGCTCAGCTTTTCTTACCCAAATTTATCCATAGGTCCGGTGACCACCAAACTACCAACCAAAAAACCTGCACGCCATGAAACAGGCTGAAAAGAACTCAGGACACGATGGAAGGTCTGTGTGTATTACAGTGTGACGCTGGTACATTACATTCATGGCCAGGATCACATTTCTAAATCAATTTTTGACTGCTGTAATACCATAATTATTACTGATATATATTTGTGAAATTTAAAATAGAGGAGATCGGATTTATGGAGAAAACATTTGCACACAAACAAAAGAAAAACTTCAAAATTTTTTCTCCCAGGGCGGGGCGGGGGTATAGTGCCTGCCTGGCAAATGTGAGGTCGAGAGTTCAATCTCCGGTACCAAATCAAACAAAACAAAAATACTTTCTCCTCTCTTTCAGGCAAGTTTCAGCTCTACAAATCTAAATGTTCTTGTCTTTGAAATATACCAGTGTTGTTCTGCTCAGCTGTCAACCCTTTGTCCAAGGAAGACTGTGTCTCTTTTCCTCAAATTAATGAGGTTTCCAAGTCCGTGGACGAACTTTAACCTGGCCACCAACGCTGTGAAAGTGGGTTTGGTGTGGAAAAGACATGGGAAAGGAAAAATTCTGTAAAACACACACCTATACTTGGAAACACAAAATTAAACAGAAAAAAATAAACCACCCGGATCTAACATCATCAAGATCTCAGAAAAACAATATAGGCACAAAAATTAGGCACAGTGATCGAGTCAGAACTGCGGTTGAGATTTCCGCGCCGCGGTGACCGAAGGCAGACGTCCGGCGGGGCTCCAGGGTACCCCACCGCTCCTATGATCACGGCCCCGCCCCCTCCGCGGGCCCCCGCGCGCCAGCCAATCCGCTCGCGCCCATCCCCTTCCCATCGGACGCCCCGCCCCCGCGCCCGGGGTGTTGGGCCCCCGCGGCGTGACGCGAGCACGGCAGCTCCGCCCCCTGCGTCTCTGGCCTGGCTGGCCCTGGGGGGGATGGTTCCATCATGGCGTCAATGCAGGTGAGAGGAGTTTGCAGCATCTGGGCGGGTGCGGGAGCCGCCGAGAGACTGCTGGCGTTTGGGTGGGGATGGTGTCTGGAGCTCCTGGCCAGCCGAGCGGACTCTGAGGTGGATCCAGTGGCCGGTCTAGGTCTTCTCCATGGCTCGGGGCGTCGGGGAGGGGTGAGAGGCAGCGAGAAGGGCGCGGGGGGGGGGGTGGCGGCACGTCTGGCTGGGTCGAAGCGGGCACCAGTCGGCCGGGAAGTTGGGGTGTAAGGAGGGTTTAGGGGAAGAAAGGGCGAAGTTTGGCTTTGGCTTCGCGGTGGTGATCTTGGAATCGCTTCCCCGTACATAGACGACCGTGCCGGCCTCCCTGCCCGCCCCTGGGATGCCCCTTCTCCTGCGCGGTGCTCGGGTCGGCGGAAACAGCTGCGCCCGTCGTTGTCGCCCAGGCAGGGGCAGCCCTGAGAGGGGCTGAGTGTGGGGTAGCGGGAAAGGCGTTCCCCGAGAAGGCGACTGGCTGCAGTCGGCTCTCGGCGATCTCTGCCCAGGCCTCCCACGCCCGGCCTCCCCCTTCGCTTAGTCCGCTTCGCTCTCTTCCCTTCGACTCTTAATCCTTTGCCTTTTAGGTACCTCTGTCAACCTGAGCACCCACGAACGTTTTCCGGCAGCTCACTTTCCCACTCACCCCGAAACTGCCCTTAGTGCACCAGCATCATTTGCCGCCTAGTGTGCAAGCTCCAGATCCCAGTCATTTAGCCCTCTTAAACCTCTCAGGATAACTCGCCCTCTAATTTATTTTTTCCTACCATGCCCCACCCTTGCGGTCGCTGAAAGGCTATATAGCACTTTGCCCTTCTTCCCCAGACCTTTGGTGAAGCCTTATTGTGACGGGAGGCGTTTGTTAACCAGTGTATCTACCTACTTGTCAATGCGTGATTTTCTGGCTAACTTAATTTACAGCCCCGCCCCCAATCCAGGGAGTTTTTTTCATGGGAAGATGACAACCACGGCTGTAGTTTTTAGAGATTGACTGCATTATCTACAGCCTGTATTTCATTCACAGATTAAACCAGCCTTATTAAAATACGTAAAAAGAAGCGGCAGAGCTCTCATTAGGAATGCCAACTAAAATGCCTTTTAGAGTTTTAATAGCACTCCCTTAAGAGATCACGTTTTTCTTAGATTTTTTGTTTGTAGAAGAATAAACACATCTTTGTCCTGTTTTTGGTTTTTCTGCACTCCAACTGTTTTTTTTTTTTTTCTTTCTCCTTTTCAGTATATTCTTCCCCTTTTGTGTAGGTTTTTTTCTCTTTGCCTCACGTTTACTTCTATACTTTAGGTTATACCGTTTCGAATCTTTTTTATCGTATTCCTTTCCTCCCTTGCTTCTTCCCCTGGCTTTTCCTGCAGAACAATAAAATTGCATGTATCATCTCTAGGTGAAGGGATGTCACGAAATGGTGCAGGGAGAAACTAGAACAATTTCAGGAAACGTTATACTACACTAGTTTCCCCAGAGATGTTAGAGAAGTTTCGTCATTTGAGGCCAACAAAGGAACTGAAATACCAGTTCCATATAGCAAATGAGTTATATGACTACTCTTAAGATTTGTATCTGTATTAAGATTAAAACATTACGTGTCATGACCAGTTTAAGATTGGTATCTGAAGGTGTAAACATTATTTAAGACTGAAGATTAAAATCCACAATACTGTTGTATTTGACAAGAGGGAGTGTTAGCCAGTTGGATTTAGACTTAAATTGTTTGGAAAAGGAAGGTCTGTTTTTAAAAGAGATACTGATAATCTTGAATTTTGCATAGTGACTCAAGCAATAGAATAAAATACTTGTCAATACAATAGTGCATTTTTTATACTACTTTAGGTAGCCTTATCAGCATTCATTCTTTATTCCCTTGTCTTCTAATTCGAGAAATGGAAAACTGGTGCTTATCTTAATTAGTTCAGCAACATAATTTGCCTCAAACTTTTTCTTTTCAAAAATACTTGAGGTTTTCTGAGATAGTGTTAAAATAGTTCAGCACAGAAAAATCAAACTTTGTGAAATACCATACTGCTTTCTGTGTTTTTATTCTGTGTCTTATATGGAATTTACTTGCTGGTCATCTTAATGATATGGGTTAATGCTTTTCAAATAACTAAATTATACATAAAGCTATAACCAAATGATTAAATGTGTTCATTGACTCAGCAAGTATTTTTGGGGTCCAATATGTCAAGCACCTAGTTAGGTGCTGGAGGCAGCAATGAACAAAAACAAGATATCTTTTGTGGATTTAATAGTCTAGTTGAGGGAGACAGATATGAACAGAATATGTTAGCTGTGTATTATTTAGACAGTGATAGTGTTAGTACTGTGGAGAAGCAGCAAGAAAGTTAGGATATCAATACTTTGAGGATTTCAGTTAGGAAAAAGTAGGCCATGGTACAGAATGCTGGTCTAGCCATGTCTTTGTCCAAAAAGCTTTTAATAGGTTATTTTATCCACATCAGGGTATTACTGTTGCTGAAGAAGTTACTTAAGCTCTAAAAGGAAATATGTTTCAAAAATATGGTATATTGTGCAAATGTAATATTTAGTAAAAATAAGTAAGTCTGTAAAGATTGATGCAATGAAATCAGGTAGACTGAATTTCCTATTGAAAAGTATACATTAAAGTTGAGATTGAAACTGTTTAATAAACTTAGTCTTTTCTTTGAGATCATGCCTCACAATAAATTTGAGGGAAAGGTTTGAGACAGGGTCTCAGTATAGTCCAGCTAACTTTGAACTCACTACATGGCCCAGGCTGGCCTCAAACTTAAAACAGTCCTCCTGCCTCAGCCACCCCACTCCTAGGATTACAGGCATACACCACTATGTCCCATTTAAAAAATATTTTCATGGTACACCAAGATGGATGAGGTTGTTGGAGATTGGAGGCACTGACCAGGCAACTCTTTGTTAAATACCAAGTAAAAGGTGCTCAATATTGTGACACAGCTGTAATTCTGCGGAAGTTCTACTGAATAATATGGCTGGAATTCTCCATGTACAGTTCAAGGTAGTGATTTTCACACTTTTGTCAGTGCTTTGAGACAGTCTTTTGTGTTTTTTTTTCCTATTGTTTCTTCTTAGAACAGAGTCACGAATCACCAAGTAAAATTATAGTTAGATTATATTTTAAGAAACTGCTTTTAACCAAGAGTCATGGCACATGTTTGTAATCCTAGTACTAAGGAGGCTCAGGCAGCAGGATTGCCATGAATTTGACGCCAGCCTGAAGTACACAGCCAGACTCTCTAAAAAACCAAAAAGAAAATACACAAAGTAAAAAAAACAAAACAAAACAAAACAAAAAAGAAAATACCTGTTTTTAAGAGAGTAGTATGGTCATGGTGATAGTTAAAATTGGCAGGAATTAAGTCTACATTTAATTTTGGTAATTTAAGAAACCTTAAAATATTAAATGGAACAAATATATTTGGCTATTTGTTAATGTCATTTGCAGTACATTTTAGTTTTGTACTTTACGGACTCTTAATTATTAGATACAAAGTTTCCATCTCCAAATGATTCTAAACATTTTTGTAAAGAAAGCAGTATTGAGCTATTATTTTCAGTTAAATCCTAAAATTTTTTGTGTTGTCTATTTTCATTTTATAGTTTTTCTCTTTTCCAAAGCTTGTATCATGTTTTGAAGTACTTAGCTGGTGTGGCTTCCTTTATATTTTCCAATTTGCATTTAGCAGTTTCATCCAGACTTCTCTTTAAAAGTTTTAGAGTATTACTTGGTATACACTGTTTTCTGTTTAGATACATTGTGCTTACTTTAGGTCCTTAACTTATTACCCGGAACTTGCATAATCATTGATATTTGTCAACTCAGAAAACAGTGATGTAAGTGAGAAATGATCGGTTTGGTGATTTGTGAATTTTCTGCATTTGCTTCCTCTTACCTAATTGGATCTCAGACTATTGATTGTTGATTTGGCTAGCTGAAAGGATGTTGAGATTTAGTAACAGGAGATAGAATATGAGTATGTGCTTATTTTCACATGGCTTAGAAGCAGTCAGTTATTTTGGATTATTCACAGCTCTCCGTATCTCTTTACTCAGGTAAATGGATGTACTGATTGAGAGTTCTTAGTATACTATTATAGTAGTCATGTTGCCTTGATAATTAGCTATTACATGGCTATTTGTTAATGTCATTATTTTATTTTGTTTTTTTTTTTTATCGGTACCAGGGATTGAACTCACAACTGCCTGCTTGCAAGGCAGGCGCTTATGCCACTGAGCTAAATCCCCAGCCCCTATTAATGTCATTATTAAGGATCATATTGTACTGCAAAAGTTAGACAGTTGCCTTATCTTTGATGCTCAGTCTCATTGAGCACTGGGAACTTGAATTGTATCTGAGGTTTGCTGGATTCTTTAGAGATAGAGCTGTTGGATCAGGGACAGGGGGAAAGGGAAAAGGAAAACAGAATAGAATTTAGGGTATTTTGTATGAAAGGTAAAGATAAGTAGATACTAAACTACGTGTGAACACCAGAGTAAAGCTATGATAATCCTCTCACTGTGAAAACAATTGTACTTTTCTCTTAATCAGTTATAGCCTTATGATATCTCTTTTATATTTGTTCTGAGTATGTTTAGCTTTTATTTTTTTTGAAACAGGGTCCAGATGTGCAGTTCAGACTGGGCTCGAACTTACTATGTAGCTTGGGCTTGCCTCAAACTCACGGCACTCCTCCTGCCTCAGCCTCCTGAGTGCTAGGCTTATAGGTGTGTTTCACCATGCCTGGTTGTTAAGGTTTTTATTAACATTTCAAGTCTCCTCCTTTGGCCATAGACTTCTTGAAAGCAAGAAACATTTTCCTCTTGTCTTCTGCCTGTGCACATAGTAAATACAATAAACATTTGTCTCTCACTGGACACTACAAGAAACATCCCTAAGGGTCAAATTCTGTATTCATTTAATTCTGTCTCAAAGAAACCTTTTAGGCAGTTC